AAAGGTGCAAGTGAAGGTCAAGGTAAGAGATAATATTTATAGTGTTAATTTTTTATTGGATTTATAATAGGTCTTGGTAATGCTTTTCTATCACATATAAAAGCATGTGATGGTATATTTCATATGGTTCGACTTTTTGATGAAGTTGATATAGCTCATGTTGAAGGAAATATTGATCCTATTCGTGATATTGAAATTATTCATGATGAATTAAGGTTAGTAGAATTTTTGTTTTTTTGAAAATAAATTTCTTATAATTAAATATTTCATTTAAGATTAAAAGATCTTGAATTAACAAAAAAAATTGCTGATGATTTAGACAAAAAAGTCGTACGTGGAAATGATAAAACATTAAAAATTGATTTGGTATGTATGATAAAATTCTTAGGATGACAATTTGTAGGAAACAACAATTCATTTAAATTTTAATGATATATCTATGTAGAAATAAAGAAGATAATAATAAAAACTATAACTTATAATTCTTATATGTTTACGCGTTACTTAATACAAGTTAAACGAGTTATATATCGATAGATAGACCGTGAAAAACAGGTTCTTGTTGAATACAATTATAGTATGATGCAAGCATGAAGTATATACCATTCTGAGTTTTATACCCATTGATAGAGCTTTTCGCAAACTACAAATCCATGTATAATTTGTCAGGAAAAAAAAACCGCGAACATGTTTGCATTTTTTTGACAAGTATCCAGAGATTTCAGTTGTAGAATTATTTTTTCAATCGAAACAGATAACATATTCGGAATCAGTATAAAAAATGGCGTCGATTTACTTTTTTTTGATGACTTTTATTTTTCAAGAGGATCCGGAGTTCCAATTGTAATCCAAAATAGAAGTCATCAAAAAAGTAGATCGATGCCATTTGTTATACTGATTCCGAATATGTTATCTGTTTTGATTGAAAAAAATGATTATTACAATCCAAATCGCTGAATATCGGCCAAAAAATACCTATCTAAACAAAACTTTCTTGACTCCAAACATGTTCTCAGTATTGTTTTTATCTTTATAAATTACACATAGATTTGTAGCTCACAAAAAGCTTTATCGATTGGTATAAAACTCAGAATGAGTAAACTCTAACTCTCAGTGTATAGGATGGTTTATACTCGATGCTGGCGCCATACTTTAATTGTATTTAACAAGAACTTGCTTTTGAAGTATTCTTCTCAGTCTATCTATGAATATATAATTTGTTTAGTTTGTATTAAGTAACAAGTACAATATATATGAATTATAACCTATAGTTTCTATCATCATTTTGTTTATTTTGACATGAACAAATCATTAAAATTCAATTGAATCAATTTCCCTATAGATCATCACTTCTTCTTAACTTCTTTTTTTTTTAAATAGGAGACCATACATAAAGTTTTAACTGCATTAAACGAAGAAAAAGGTAGTATTCGTTTTTGTGATTGGCATGAAAGAGAAATTGAAGTTTTAAATAAACATTTATTTAATACATCAAAACCAATGGTTTATTTATTAAATATGGCTGAAGAAGATTATATTAAGAAAAAAAATAAATGGTTAGGAAAAGTTAAACAATGGATTGATGAACATGATCCTGGTGCAACAGTTATACCATTTAGTGCTAATTATGAATATCGTCTTGTTGATTTACCTGATGAAGAACGTGAAAAAATTATTAAAGAAACTGGAGCACCAAGGTAAATTATTATATTTATTTAAATAAATAAATATTTGTTTTTCTGTATTCATAATATTGAAGTGCATTGGAAAAAGTTATTCTTGCTGGTTATCGTTCATTACAATTATGTTATTTTTTTACTTGTGGTAAAGATGAAGTTAAAGCATGGACTATTCAAATTGGTACAAAAGCACCACATGCAGCTGGGCGTATACATACTGATTTTGAAAAAGGTTTTATAATGGCTGAAGTTATGAAATATGATGATTTTAAAGAATTTGGAAATGAGAATACTGTTAAAGTAATAATAGAAAATTTTTGAAAAGCAAAAAACCAAACATTATTCTATTTCTAGGCAGAAGGAAAATATCGACAACAAGGAAAAAATTATACTGTTGAAGATGGTGATATTATCTATTTTAAAGTTAATGCAGGCGCTGGTTTAAGTGCAGCAAAAAAATAGGCTCAATTGTTTATTTAGTTTTTTTTTTTGCTTCGTTACAGATTTTTTTTCTAAGAATAAACCTGATCAATACGACATTTTTTTTTCAGATATGTCGTGGAATTCCGAAGGTTTTTTTAATCCTTCTTCATATCATCAACAATATACAGGTCCAACATCCTATGAACTTCAACAACAACAACAACAACAACAACAGCAACAATATTATGCTCCTTCTCCTCAACAAAATCTTCCTTATCCAGGTGGTAATTTTATACCATCACAATATAATATAAATTCCCAAGGAAATCCATCTCAATTTTATCGACCCGATGATTATCTTCCACCATCAGCACACCCAACAAATGGTGATGAAGAATTACCTTTACTTGAAGAATTAGGTATTAATTTCGATCATATATTTAAAAAAACAAAATCTGTTTTAAATCCATTTTCAACACCGGATGCATCCATACTTGATGATGTCGATTTAGCTGGTCCACTTGTATTTTGTCTTGCATTTGCTTGTAGTCTTTTATTATTAGGTAAAATACATTTTGGTTATGTTTATGGTATTGTTGCATTAGGTACTGTTGGAATGTATGGTTTATTAAATATGATGACATCACCAGATAAACCATGTTCCGGTTTATTTGTAACAAGTGTACTTGGTTATTGTCTATTACCAATGGTTATGCTATCATTTTCATCATTTTTATTTAACTTAAATGGTTTAATTGGTTTAATAATAGCTTCAATATTTATTTTATGGTGTTCATTATCAGCTTCAAAACTTTTTGCAACATCATTAGCAATGATAGGACAACAGATTCTTGTTGCATATCCTTGTGCTTTATTTTATGGAATTTTTGCTTTGTTAACAATTTTTTGAAAGAAAAATAAAATATTCGTTTTCTTTTCTTTGATATTATTAAGCAAGCAATTTAATTCTAAAACGAAAAAAGAAGGAACATTTACAGATGTTTGTGTCCTTTTGAGCTGATGCTTTGCTCATAAGTAGACCTTGATAAGCTATGAAAAGCTGTCAAAAGGGCTTTTTGGTGGCTATAAATCTTTTTGAAAGTGAACTTCATGACAACTAGACTTTACAATGTTGCAACGGTAAGAACTTTGCAGATGATAAATCTCAAAATTTTACCATGATTTTCTAATAAAATACAAGCATTTGTCGTATTACTCGAATGTACATTTGTCATTACTTTCACATACATAAAAAATATTCGAACAATTTAAATCTCGGTAAGAAACACCCATGCGCACAAATTCTGTGGACGCTTGTTATAGCTCACCAAGGCCTACTCATGAGTAAAGCACCAGCTCAAAAAGACGTGAACACGTGCGAATGTGTCATCGTCAGAAGTGAAGATATGCTAAGCTTTCTATATGATGATATTTGTTTAAAAAGTTATTTTCATGTGTTTCATTAAAAAATAACAGTCAGTCATGCACAATATTCTCAAATATAATTTCCTTTTTTGGTATCGTTTACCTTACTTTTTATCTATCTTTAAAATAAAATTGCACAATTTCATTCCCATGACTCACTCAACATTTAATGTTGAAAGGTAGACAACACATATGAATTACCTTATATGGTCACACTAATAGACTATATACCTAAAATAGTTTTTCTTCAGGTAAACTATATAAAGAGAATAAATGTCCATAACGACATTAATATTCAACTACATAATAAAATTCAAACAAAATGTCATACAACGGTAATGATGAATTGAATGCTATTGTTATTGATAATGGATCCGGTATGGTTAAAGCTGGTTTCGGTGGCGATGATGCACCACGCGCTGTCTTTCCAGCTGCTGTTGGTCGACCACATTATACTGCTATTATGCCTGGAATGGGTCAAAAAGAATCCTACATTGGAGATGAAGCTTTAGCAAAAAAAGGTATTCTAACAATTCGTTATCCAATTGAACATGGAATTGTTACAAATTGGGATGATATGGAAAAAATTTGGCATCATACTTTCTATAATGAACTTCGTGTTGCACCTGAAGAACATCCAGTTTTACTTACAGAAGCACCACTAAATCCTAAAGCTAATCGTGAAAAAATGACACAAATTCTTTTTGAACAATTTAATACACCTGGTTAGAAAATTTTGCTTTATTATTTACATAATAAATTTATTTTTGTGTTTTATTTAGCTATGTATGTGGCAATTCAAGCTGTTCTTTCACTTTATGCAAGTGGTCGAACAACAGGTGTTGTTTTGGATAGTGGTGATGGTGTATCTCATACAGTACCGATCTATGAAGGTTAAAAATATTTTTCTTCATGTTTCTTTTTTTATTAAACTAAATATTGA